CCTTGACAAGCTTGTGAGGTGGGCTGATACCAACTTCATGAAGTTTAACCATGCCAAGTACAAAGTCCTACACCTGGGTCAGAGCAATCCCAGGCACAGCTACAGGCTGGGCAGAGAAGTGATTTAGAGCAGCCCTGTGGAGAAGGACTTGGGGGTGCTGATTGATGAGAAAATGAACATGAGCTGGCAATGTGAGCTTGCAGCCCAGAAAGCCAACCGTATCCTGGGCTGCATCAAAAGGAGCGTGACCAGCAGCTCAAAGGAGGTGGTCCTGCCCCTCTACTCTGCTCTTGTGAGACCTCACTTGGGAGTACTGTGTGCAGTTCTGGTGTCCTCAGCATAAAAAGGACATGGAACTGTTGGAATAAGTCCAGAGAAGGGCCACGAGGATGATCAGGGCACTGGAGCACCTCCTGTATGAAGAGTGGCTGAGGAAGTTGGGGCTGTTCAGCCTGGAGAAGAGAAGAGAAGGCTGCGTGGAGACCTCATAGCAGCCTTCCAGTGTCTGAAGGGGGCCTATAGGGGTGCTGGGGAGGGACTCTTCATTAGGGACTGTAGTGATAGGACAAGGGGTAACGAGTTAAAACTTAAACAGGGGAAGTTTAGATTGGCTATAAGGAGGAAATTCTTTCCTGTTAGGGTGGTGAGGCACTGGAATGGGTTGCCCAGGGAGGTTGTGAATGCTCCATCCCTGGCAGTGTTCAAGACCAGGTTGGACAAGGCCTTGGGTGATATGGTTTAGTGTGAGGTGTCCTTGCCCATGGCAGGGAGGGTGGAACTTGATGATCTTAAGGTCCTTTCCAACCCTAACTATTCTATGATTCTATTAAGGCCTGTTATGTCACAGTTTTAGGGGGGGCTGATACAAGCTATAAAGATTGCATACCCAAACTATAACTTTTACAATCTTATGTTTATTTCTTATTACAGAATATAGTTCTCTTATTTGAAAGAACTATGGGGGAATATGTTACCTCCAGGTAACCTAGATCTTGTTCTCTTACTAAATGTAAATTCCAGCAAACTTCTGAAAATTCAAAAATAAACAATACTTTCAGCCTTGGCTTCATGACAAGAAGAAATATAGAACTAAGGTACAAACCAGTGCAGTTTCAGCTATGAATCCTACAGGGAGTTTCATCCACTGAATAACCTACAGGCACTAAAACTGAATTCAGAATTAGGTGCATTAGATATTTGGATACCAGCTAGTCTGGCAGAGATAAAAGCATGTTTTGAACAGACCTGGAGTGCCTTGTCCAGCATCTACAGCCTGACTCACTGCCTTTTCTTGGTGAAGGTGTTGAAGGAAAAATGTAAACACCACCTCAGTGAGGCCTAGAAAATATCTATCAGCAACTAGTGGTGAAGCTGTGGAAGAGAAATGTAAGGAATTTACTTCTCATTGAGTTATTCAGCCATGACACAGGATATGAAAGGAGTCACTGTTATGCGAGATAAAGTGTAAGTTTGATAAAGAGATGAAGTGAAGTTCTGAAATGAAAATTGTTGCTGAAGCAGAGCTGTTTGAATGGAGGTCAGGTACTAGCAGTTTCTGGTTACTACGGCCCTTGTAAGGTTTCAGAGGGCAATTCACCCAATTTAGTGGTTGATCCTCTTTTTTCTGGAGGATATGTACTACCTGCAAAGGTGAATTAAGTGCTTCTGTAGCACCACAATTAACATTACAGTAATGTGTATCTTTATGGTATTTTCTGTACCCATGTTTACAGCCTTGCTGAATGTGGTGTTTGCTGATTCTGCCCCTGATGATTCGTAATCTGTTTGCAAGGAAAAATTCAACTCCATCATTGCAAACATGCAAGATGACATAGAGATGGCATTATCTCCTATATAAACCTAGATTTCAGTAATGGTAATTTAAAAGCACAACCAGAAAAGTAGTTTTAATATATGCCAAATCTGTAGTACTTAACAATGCCACATCATTCAGCTCCTAAAACCAGTATTAAAAGGCATCCCTTTTTGGCCATGCCCATGCCTCCCCTCTCCAGTGCTCTGTGCTGCTGTGCTGCTGGCACAAAACTGTGAAATAGAAAGGAACTAAAATACACCAACAGAACACATGCACCGACAGAACCCTTTGCCCTTGAAAAGAATAAATGCTTTTCCAAATTGTTGAGAGGGAGTGCACACCTCCTGATGATTAGATTGCCAGCTAGACCACATGTACTCCTACGTGTCTGGATGACCAGATACCATGCAGACGCATTCCACATTCTTTTTAATCTACTACCTTTTCCAGGAGATACAGGTTATTTCTCAGAGCTTTAGAGAATCAAATGGCACATGCAGCTTGTCAGCCAGCAGAGGGTCTAAAAACTACCAGGGTACATCTGAGTCTGCAGGCTGTAATGCACTTTCAAGAATGTTGAAACTCAGACTGTCTGAAACCTTTTACATAAAATACATTAATATTTAGAATCATTTAGGTTGGACAAGACCCTAAAGATCATCAAGTCCAGCCATAGGTCAATAACATTTTAAACAGAATTCATATACAGAACAAACTAGTAGTGACTTCAGAGTGAGCTGCATCTTGTAAATGGCTCCGTTAAAATAGTATCAGGAACAAAGTACTACTGTGGAACAGTAACATAAACAAAAAGCAAACTCAAATCTTTGCATATTTATTTTTCAGGTGTTGTGTGTTCGCTGTAACTGTTGTTGGATAAATGAAACAGACATCCAGTAGGCACTGTTTACTCTTTTCCTATCCTGTTGCCAGAACTTTTACAGGCTACTGTTGAGATACAAACTCAAAACTTCACAACATTTTTAGGCAGCTGTGTTAGCATTGCACACTTTTTATTGTGTATCTAATATACAGAATTATAAAAATCACTTCTATATACACAAAGCATGAATCAAATTAACCAAATGAAAAAAATAATGCTGTGTCTTCAGGTTTTTAAAGCAGACTGCATGGAGAATTTAAAAGTAATTTGAGGTTAAAATAAAGAATGCTACTTAAATGGAGATATATAAATAAATTCTTTAATCACTTCAGTATAACCCTGGGAGCAATTCAGTTGAAGTCAGTTCCAATAAACTAATTTAACTGTAATGATATAAACACTGTATTTGCCTTCCTGTATCCTATCACACATTGCAAAGGCATACTCCCATATGCAGCTGCTTTCACAGACCTGAGGTGAAACCACAATAATTGTGCCCTTATCTAGCAAGATGAGATGCGACATTTTTTGGAGGACAGCATTACAACCACTAATTTCTTAGTAACACTTCTGGCACGCTGGGTTGCAGCCCATCCAGTTGCAAAGACTTGGATATGTCAGATTAGTCTTAGTGGCTCCTAAATTAGTCATCATCTATTGTTGGTAGTATTTCCCCCCACCAAAAACTGTGCCTGGGACTTAGGAGGTGTGAGATCAGGCCTTGCCAGTAAAGGTTCTGATGCCTCCAGAGCACCAGCAGTACTATTGTAGCTTTTTTGGTGTGTTAGAAGTACCAAAAGGGAAAGAAATAAGGCCTCGGTGCCTGAACACCTCCCCTTGGTACTGCTCTGACCGTAATCAGAATACATTTATAGATACCAGGTATACTAGATGATCTTAGGGTCCCTTCCAACCCAAACTATTCTGATTCTGTGATACATAAGCATTGTAATTACTGTGTGCACACACAGTGTTTTAGTTATTGACCTAAAGTTGACACTTGAACTTTAGTTCAGTAACCAATGAAAAATTGCTATTTTTCTTGAATGACACATTAAAACTAGTGCAAGGTGTAAGTTAATTTAATGCCATATTCTTTCTTTCTATATGCAGGTACAAAGCAGTGCATAAAACTGCCTGTGCTACAGCTATAAAAGCTATACAATCCAAAAGTTCTGAGACTGGGGCAGAAAGGGAAAAAAACAGCCAACTAATTTAGTTAGTGTGCCCACTGATTTTTGGGGATGAGGATTCAGACACATGATCTATTAATATGGGAAAGTATGTAACTGTAATTCAGAGTGTAACTGATAAAGATAAGGGGATCTGAAAGGTTCTTCTTCGGTTTTCTCGTGATTTTTTTATCTTGGCATATTGTACAAAGTAGCTATCCTGACAGCTCTGAGGAAAACCAGGTAATATATGAACTTGCTTATTCACAGTCACTAAATCATAAATGTTATATATTGTAACTCTAAATAATACATTTTGCTTTGCTGGGTTAAAAAACTACTGAGGTTTCATGGCCTTGAAGGATTCTAGGAGTTCACTGCTAAAAAAAAGATGAGTGTTCCCTCTTCAATCATGTAACACTGTAACCGGAGACTACAGAAGTGACTGACTGCTTCTTTCTGTTCCCTTAATTCTGAACAGAATTAATTGCTGCATCAAACTCTAGATAAATCTGAGCCAGCTGTGAAATGATCCATGTAATAGACTAATACTTTCATTCAAAATGGATGCAATAAGCAATATGCTCTTCCTTTCTTGGACAGTTAATACATTAGGCTGTCATAGTAATCACTAATTACATGCCCAGGAAAGTTTGGTATAATCACTTACACATAGTTTGTAGAAAAATGTTTTGGAATAAAAGACTGAGGCTTATCTGATTTCATTTATATGAGAAATTGCTTTGATTATTACTAAGATTTTGTTTCTTATGGAACTTGAAAATTGTCATTCTTTGATACAAATTTATGTGTTGACTCTCACCATTTTTATGTGTGGAAAAAATCAATCAATTTTTTAATAAAGGAATGTGTAACACCCCAATGATTAGATTATGTCAAGTCAGATTAGTCTGGCCCCAGGTTTGGCACCTGGAAAAAAAATAAGTCTTTTACTGCATCTCTAGATCCTTTTTTGGTTTTCATCTGCAGCTTTTGATAATACTGCTTAGAAATGTTGTAGAAGTGTTGTGTAGTCCTGGGAAGCACTAAGGAAGATGTGAGCAGTAGGGGCTTTGCTGAGATTCTGATGTGAAAGTCTCATCTGTCTTCTCTGATCTCTCTGATGTAGGTTGAGGAGGAATCTGAAGTAACAGCAGAAGTTGAATGCTAACACCCAGAAGTTCCAGGATGTGAAGACTTGGCCTGGATTTTTATTTTATTGATTTTTTTTTCCCTCAAAGCTTAGAAAGAAAGGTACTGGTGTCTCTATGGATGTGTTATCTGTGTCTCTGTAATCTCAAAACCTGACAAAATGAATTGTAGAATCATAGAATACCAGGTTGAAAGGTACCTTGAGGATGATCTGCTCCAGCCTTTTTAGAGAAACATGACTTGGACTAGATGTCCCAGCACCTTGTCCAGCCAAATCTTAAAAGTATCCAACGCTATGGAATCCACCACTTCTCTGGGGAGATTATTCCAATGCCTGATTGTTCTCATTGTGAAAAATTTTCCTCTTGTGTCCTGTAGGAATCTCCACAGTGAAGTATGCTGAACTTAACACTGCCTTTTAAGAGCATTCAGAAAAATAAGGGGGCTGCTTATTTATGTAGGAGCAGTGCTTTGGTACTGAAGGCATGTAAAAACATCTGCGTGTGGTAGGTTAAACCGGTTACCTAGTTCTTACAGTTCTTCAAGGAGGAGTTGTTCTTAACCAGTGTCTTACCTAGTTTGTGACCTGAATACCTGAAGACCTGCTTCTTTCTATACTCCTAGCAATTACGTAGAGGCATGCTTACAGTCTCTCACTTCAAGAAAAAGTAGCACATGGTTTTTGAGAAGATCTGTAGTCCTAACAAGTAATTTCCATCATCTGGATTTTTCCAAGTTCTGGTGAATAATGTGAAATAGTTAGAGAGCAAGGTAAAAGAAGATTAATGATGCCTGCGCTGATTAATTTTTGGATTGGGAGTATTACACATTCATTTTAACTCAAATTCTGTTTTAAGTAACTGGAACTTGAGTTTGGCTGCTTTGCACTGGTTTGAGTGATTAAATGAATGCTCAAGACTCCTGATATAGGAAAATTCCAAACATACAGATAAGGAAAGGAATGCCCAGATTGTAAATTGTCCCTGGAATAAAACCTTTCCTAGTGGAGTTTCTCTGTATGAATTTCAGCTCAGCATAGATTCATAGAATCGTAGAATGGTTTTGGTTGGCAGGGACCTTAAAGATCATCTTGTTCCAACCCCCCTTCCATGGGCAGGAGCACCTTCCACTAGATGAGGTTGCTCCAAGCCCCATCCAACCTGTCCTTGAACATTGCCAGGGCACAGGTTGCTACAGCTTCTCTGGGCAATCTGTGCCAGCGTCTCACCACCCTCACAGTGAAAAATTTCTTCCTAATGTCTAATCTGAATCTACCTTATTACTTTATGCTTGAGACCCTCTCTGAAATAAGAAAGGAATTTTTACTGAATAAGGAGATCCAGTTCTGTCTTTTCACCTTCAACGTTTTGAGTATTTTGTTATTGGTAATATTTTACTGCTCTTTGATAAATATTATTCAAATAAACTTAACTCCTGCAGGCATTCTCCCCTTGAATAACATGATCTTTATTATAAAGATTTTCAAACCTCAGGTAGTAAATGAGCCCCTACAATGCGGGCCATGGGGTTTCCCACAGAGAATCCTGCAGCCAAGCAGCTCACATCTAGATAAAGCAAACCCCTGTCAAATGCTTCTGCTGGTGAAGTAGCACCAGTGTGGTAAGTGGGTCTCGCTCTCACTGGATCTAATCTTCCTCTCACTTTTTACATTCTGTAGTAATATGGCCGCATCCCCACCGCACACATGTATGTTCAGTCCCACTCTCTGGCCTCCTCCAAAGCCCTGCAGCATGTTAAGTCTGCAGTCCCTCTCCAGTGCAGTCTTTCACTCTGTCATTGATGCTTAAATATTCCCACTTCTCCAGCTCCAGCAAAGACAGCCCTGACCCTGCTTGGCTCCCATGACACTCATGCTGGCTGCAGTCCTGTGCTTCCTGCAGGGAAGAGCTGTGGGGAGAGCTGTGAGCCAGAGCTCCTATGAGCCAGAGACCCTGGGACGTGCTGCCTCTACCCTGGTTCTCCTTCATCTTCTCCTACAGTTAGAACAGCCAAGGTCAGGGAGACCCTTCCAAACCGGACACCTGTCTTCTGATCTGCAGGTCAGAAAGTATTTCCTTAAATAGGTTTGGGTATGAAATGGAATTGTGGTGGGATCTCAGTATCTCTAAGGCTTTAAGAAAAATTATGCTCTAACCCTTAGTACACAACCCCCCAAAATGGAGCCTTTCTGATATGTATTTTAGACATATTTTTCAAGTTATTATTACTTCCTGGTGGTAGCTGGGAGTATGAAATACTAAAGTCACTCAAGCTTCATTTTTGCAACTTGCCTCTGATAATTCTGCCTCTTTTAAAAACCCAAACCATTTACATTAAAATATTTGTATTTATGACTTGATGGAAAAATCTAGAGAGAGGAGAATTTTTAAGGGGAATGTTTTTGCTAAGTTGTAGCTGTAAAGCCAGCAAATAATTTGACATGAAGGGAGCAAAGTGCACCTGGAAGAACATTGCTCTGCCTCTTGCAGAACTCTGTCTTACCTAAATCACTGGAAATCTGGCTCTTCTGTGGCTCTGGCGTTTCTCATTGAAATGTACTGAGAAAGGTGAGGCAGGAAAAGAATTCTCAGGCATTTAAGTGGGAGAGAAGAAACAGCTGCAGCAGCTTGTCACAGCTTTAGACTTCAATAGTGGGTTGATACAAGAAAATAATCACTGGGTCTACTTGTGGTTACAGCAGAGTTGTCTTCCAGTGAAAGAAAGTCTTGATAAGGCAAAGAGCAACTGTCTTGACCTTTGTACCTCTTGGGGTTTTTAATGTATCTAAAGCACATCTTCTGTGGTAATAGCCTTAGTAGCCAGGGTGGTCTCTCCAAACCCTGTTCACAAATCTCCCTAACTGCACCCTGCAGAAGATGGGATTTGGAGCTGCTGAAAGCTGGTGATAGGGGTTGCATCACCTCTCTTCCAGGCCCCTTTGCTGGGTTTCCTGCTCTGAAGCTGAATTCCGTGCATGTACAGTGGGCAGTCATAGAATCATAGAATGGTTTGGGTTGGAAGGGACCTTAAAGACCATCCAGTTCCAGCGCCCTGTCATGGGCAGGGACACCTTCCACTAGATCAGGTTGCTTAAAGTCAGAACAGCACGTAATTTTGTGTCATTAAATCATTAGAGCAGTGAAGGTGAGCACAGCACTCAGGATATGCTAATTTAGGGTGCTGGGAAATCTCAGGCAGTTTGGACACCTGCCTGTCACTGACCCCTTCATATTAACGCAGCCAAGTGTCCCCCAGTCTCCTTACATGTCCTTTTGAGCAGGCGTTCCTTGGGCAGGCAGAGCCAGGACACCTCTGTGAGGTGTGGGACAGCCAGCCCCCAGTCACATCTGGGCACTGGACCCAGTCAGCACTCGTTTGACAGCTACAAACTGAAAGAGGAGCCCCAGGGAAACTGGGTCTGGAAGACAAGGCCCTGCTCCCTACAGAACTGGTATCAGCCAGCATGTTTTCAACACCAGTTGAGCCTTTGTTCAAGAACTGCTTGTTTGAGCCCCAGAGACTGGCTAAGCAGAGAGGTGTCCAGCAAGTGAACTTCTAAGAGGTTTTAGCTGCAGAAAGGTTCTGGGAATGTTCGCTTGCACTGGAGGCAAACCTGGAAACCTTGTCACTAAGACGTGGGCCAGGATGTGAAGTTGGCTCAGCAGGGATGCTTGGAGATACCTCCACCATCCTCCAAGAGGCTGCAGCCATCATTCTTCCAGGCACCAGGAGGCTGAAGGATGCTCTGTACTGTGGGTGAAGCCCATAATCACGACCTTGTATACACTGATAGAATAGCTTTGGTCACAGTAAGGCCTAACAGAAGATGGGAAACCCCTACCGAGGCTACCAGCTCCAGGCAAAGGTCGATGCTGAGGCACAGCTTCAGCTTAAGCATTTAAATTCACCTCCTTTAAGCAGCCACTGGGCCTCGGCGGGGCACGACCGGGGGTCCCGCCCGCGGGCAGCTCCTGCTCGGTCCCCTCGGTGTGACATACTCGGGCCGGAGCGTTCCGCCCGCTCCGAGCCGTGCCGGGGGCCCACGGCTGCTGCGGCCGCTGCCGGGACCGGGGCCGGGGTCAGGTGCGCGGCTCCCCGGGAGCGGCTGCCCCCCCGCCGTGTGCTCTCCGGGCTCGTCCATCCCGCTCCTAAATCATCCCTGCCTGGGACTCCCCGTTGCCGCTAAAGATTAAGTTCTTGATTTTCTTGGCTGCAAAAGCGGCAGCGAACAGCTCAGACTTTGTTTTTCTGCTGCCCCCGAGGCGTGATTTATTGGGTCCCTGTTATCGCACGATCGGGCTTCGTTCAAAATGTTTCTCCGGGCCGATTCTATACCGCCAGGATTTATTTTGACTGCCCCTTCTTATTAACGTTACCGCCTGTTAATCGCTCCCTGTTCACTTTGCAATCGCCCGCCCGCGCCTAGTGCCGTTCGCGTTTCCACCCGCGTTTGGACCCACGCAGGAGGGTCGGGGTCCCGAAGGCAGCCACCACCGACCCCTTTCCAGCGGCCGCGGGACGGAGCCTCGCCCGGGCCCCCTCCGCCCCGCCGGCGCTCCCAGCCCAGCGGTTGTGTTCCCGTCCTCCAGCAAAAGCGTTACTTCATCCTAAGAGAAACAACGGGCGCGGGATCTCCGCACCGGCGGGGGGGAAGAACGGGGCCGTGAGGAGATGCCGCCCTCCGACAGCTGCGTGATTAATGGCGGAACCCCCGGGGAAGGGGCGGTCGCTGCTGCCCGGGCGGGCGGGGGGAGCCCAGCGGCCAGGTGCGAGCAGCCCCGCCTCGCCCACCGGCCGCGACGCCTTAAGACGGGCGCCGCGGGACGGGTCGTGTTGGGGCTGTGCCGGGCGGCTCCGCGCCGGGCGGGAACGGTAAGTTCATCCCCGGGATGGGGACCGAGGGGTATCTCCTATACCGGTCGCGGCGTTGGATCCCCGCAGGGGCCGGGTTCATCCGCCGCCGGTGCGGGATGGGGCAGCCGCGGTACCGCAGCTGGAGGGGGCTCGGGTCAGCGACTGTGCCGGCTTCGCACGGGAATGGGCAAGATCCTCTTTCACTTCTTCGGAGACAGTGGTTTCGTTAACTATTACCGAGTTACGCGAAGGACGAGGTGTTCTTAAACCCGATGCAAAACAATGCAGGTTCACTGTATTCCCCCTCTAGGAACAACGGCAAAAGTTGACAGCAAGGTTATCGGAGGCTTTCGTCTATATCTGAGGTTTCCACCTATTTCTTCCTAGTTTGTGTGCTCCGCTTTGGTGTTTTCGATCTTTTCCTGATGCTCTTTTGCTCACACGGAATATAGAACTAAAATAAGCATTGTGTTGTTCCGTAAACTGATTAGGTTTCAAACTGATTCTGCCTTTGTACTGTCATGTAAAACCACTAATGCATCTGCCCGCTTTACAAATTTTGCAATAGGAATGCTTTAAAAAGAATATAAATACTTTAAGAATGCTTAAAAAGTTAAACTCTCACCCCTGCATTTCCAGGTGTGCAGCAAGCAGGTGTTGACAAAAATCGTTGAAATGACCTTAAAATCCAAACCTCTCTTTTAAAGGAGGTTACCTGGAAACCGGCTGTTGCTCAGGGGCATTTCGTTTACTTTAGCGCTCAGCAACAGATTTTCGGACCGTGAGGTTTGGGTGATCGCGACCTCCCCACTGGGAGGGTGACACTGCCCACCCCAGTGTGTGACAGGAACCACCGTGTTCTGGCTGCATGTACTTGCACACCTACAGCAGATCCCGTGTTTCTACGCAGTGGGTTTTCCTGAGCCTTTTGCTGTATGTATATGACAGAAAATCTGACAGAGAACGGATTAATTCAGAATTAAATCTTTCATTTTCACAGCTGAAATTTTGCCTTTCCTTGTTTTCCATAGGCCCAGGATTTCAGCCGACGTAGGTGTGAAGCTTGTAAACCAGAAATTCCTACTTCAAGGAGTGCCCAAGGAGATGAGGGTTTTAGGTACATGCATTTTAATGTCCTGTACTTCCTGCAAAACTCATCCCAGTTCTAACTGTGGCTACGTACCAACACAGCACCATAAGAACAGTGTGTACACCAGCCCTAGTCCTGTACTGCAATAGGCAAGCATGGATTTATATGAAGCTGGTCTGTGTTCTTGGGCAATTCAGGCTTTTCCACTAATAGGGGAATAATACATCATTTTGGTGGGATTTCAGTTGGGTGGCAAATGAGAAACACTGCTGATAGGCATGAGCCTGTGCTTTTCTGCTAGTTCTCATGATCGTCTTGACTCTGCAATAATGATGATTTTTGTTTTCTTTCTGATAATAAAATGCATTCAGACCTGACTGTGCCTGAACACACGAGAAAAGAAAAAAAAGCACATGGCACCTTTTCTTCCTGTGAGTTAAAGGAAACAGCCAATTTAAGGACCATTTTTCAGCCCTCCCTCAAAACAAGCTCATGTAGGCTTAGCGTGAGTTTTATGTTGGTCATAGATATTACCATTTTTTTTTTTTTAAAGAGGGTTTTCCCCTTTGGTTTACAGTTATGATGCACACACAGACTTTCATAAATAATCTCAGCCTGAACCGTACATCTGTTTAAGAGAACCTGACCTGATAAAACTGCGAGCCTCATTAACAGAAAATCACAATAGAACACTCTATTGTAATAATGCCTTCTAAATGCCATCAAACCAGAGCATTGCAAAATGGGTTATTGAGAAACCTCTCCTCTTTTCTGCTAGAAACCTGTGATTTGCTTCATTGTCCTGGGTTTTGCTGCGACCGGCTGCAGAGGGGCATCTGTGAGACTGAAATGCTTTGTAAAATCGAGGTTAATTTTTGCAAATTTAGATATTTGGTCATTTATGTACATCATTTTTGTTTGTTTTTAATTGCGTAGTATTTGAATGAAATTAAAAGTTTTGATGTCTTGTTCTTGTTCTTCCATTCAAGCTGGGCTGTCACAGGAACAGCCGCTCCCAGCACGTGGAAGCCAGGATCCGAGAGGCCTGGGAAGGCTGCTTGGCTGAGGGCGACAGGAACAGGTATGATTCTGGCTAAGGAGTACTGCACTTTTGGAGCATTGATTGAATTACGCTTTACTGCAGAATTAAATGAACTAAAGGACTGTGAGTGTTACTCCACGGAGAGCTGGCTGACATTTCTGAAAGCTACGGAAAGACCTCCCGGGCTTTACATTCAGCTTTGCTCAAAAGTTTTTTGCTGTTGTTTTCCAAAGGTTCTCTTGCCCCACAATGGCCAAAGTACAGTTTACAGGATTCTTTTAAAGCTTGAAAGTGTAGAAGATAGAGGATTAGCAAGGAAATTTGAATAATGTTAAGGGAGGACAGGAGAAGTCTGCTCCTGATCCTACAAAACTGGACCAAGTTTTGCCCTCCAGAACCTCGGTGCTGCACTCTGTGGCTCCACACATTGCTCTGCCTGAAAACAGTGATTTTCTTTCTTTAATCCAAACTGATCACCTGTAAGACTTTTTATGAAATAATTGCAGCTAAATAGAATACATATATATATATATAGACAGTCCTACATGCCAAATTATACAGATAATGTTTTTTAAAAAATCACATTTAGCCTAATTTTCAGTTGGTTGTGAATGGGAGCCACCAAGGTAGTGCTGCTCAGCAGAGCCTGTTTTCAGAAAGGCTTTTCTTAGAAGCAATCTCTGGACTCTGAGGGATTAAAACTTGCTCTATGCAGTACTGTCCAAAAAGTATTAAATACAATCTTTGAAGAGTTCTGCTTCTGTACCTGTGTGTGGTATCAAATTTGCAAGCAGCGAGTGGAAGAGCAGCCTGCACCGCTGCATCCCGGCTTTCCCTGGCATGGGCAGCACTTGTATCTCCAATAATCTTTAGTTTTGGAAAGCGTTTGCTGCAGGGGCTGGCTCCAGAGATGTTCTTGCTGGTTGCAGGTCCCTCCCCGCCGGGGAAGTCACCGATGGACTGCGGACACTTGCGTGAGAGGGGCGAGGAGACCTCCAGCCCGGGCGCAGAGCCCGATTCCGCGTTGCCTCCTGTTGCCGGCAGCAATTCCTGCAGCCCCGCCGTGGCTGGGAGGCAGGCCGGAGCCTCTCCGGGCAGACCCGCTGCCGCTAATGCCGCCCGGGAGCGCAGCCGGGTTCAGACCCTGCGCCATGCCTTCCTCGAGCTGCAGAAGACTCTGCCCTCCGTGCCGCCCGACACCAAGCTCTCCAAGCTGGATGTGCTCCTCCTGGCCACCACCTACATCGCACACCTCACCCGCAGCCTTCAGGATGAGGAGGAGTCACCGGGAGAAGGCTTGGGTACCCTCCGAGGGGATGGGTACCTCCACCCTGTCAAGGTAGGAGGGCTGAGGATCAGCTGCTATCTCCTCTCGGTGGAGAAGTAGAGTGGTCTTAGATGAGACTAAAATTTCAATTTATATTTACCTTGCTAATGTTAATATAGATAGGCTGAGCTATTTGGGCTTCTTCGTCCTGGGGAAGACTCCAGGGAGACCTTATAGCAGCCTTCCTAGTGCTAACAGTGCCTAAAGGGAGCCTACAATAAAGCTGGAGAGGTAACTTTTTACAAGGGCATGTAATGATAGGACAAGGGGGAATGGTTTTAAGATGACAGAGGGTAGATTTAGATTAGTTATTAGGAAGCAATTCTTCCCTGTGAGGATCGTGAGGAAGCTGCCCAGAGAAGCTGTGGCTGCCCCATCCCTGGCAGTGTTCCAGGCCAGGTTGGATGGTGCTTGGAGCAACCTGGTCTAAGTGGGAGGTGTCCCTGCCCATGGCAGGGGGGTGGAACTTAGATGATCTTTAAGGTCCCTTCCAACCCAAACCATTCTGTGAATCTATTCTATGAGTATGTGAGAACAGTGCCTAGACTAGCCACTGTCTAGGTGGTCAGGGCCTGTTGGAAATGTCCAGGAGCTGTCTCCCTCAGGGACTTTGCACAAAACTACCAAATACAGTGTAGGTCCAGACCCAGTGGGGCTCGGTCCCTTTGGAAGTAAGTACCAGCACATCCTCAGTCCCCATGTGGGAACCTTGGTGATCCCCCACCAAACCCATCAGAGCCCACTGGAGGGGATGTGTGTGGCTGTGATGCATGGTCCTGTGACAGCAGCCCCAGGGCCAGGCCCACTTTGGCTCTCTTGCCAGGCAGCCATGGCATGAAGGGCGGTGTTAATCACTGGCCACATGTTAACCCCTCCTGTGAAAGTGCTTTCCTGATGTGTTCATTTCATGTGGTTAGTGTAGATCTTCTCTGAATCCAAAAAAAATAACACAAGGGCAATGTGGAGGCGACAAGAACAGAGAACTGCTCCTGGGGAGGGCCTGCAGCTGGAATCTGTGTTCACACGCATTGCTCACTGACTGAAGGGACTCCAATACCCCAGGGTGTTTTCTTTGGCTCTGGTCTCGGGGGGCAAGTTAAGAGGACTGGGGTGGGTTTTTTGTTTTGTTTTAAACAGTCTGATGAATTCAGAATGATTTAATTAAGATTAATCTGTGAGGTAATCTTTAATTCCTATAAAGTGAACTTAATTCAGAGTTTCTTATTCATGCCATTGGTCACTGTAAAAAGTGCAATACGAACGTGTGCTGCTGAGGCCAGATGATTGATCAACAGCTCCTCCAGAAAGCAAAACCTGTACAGCAATTGGAAGATGGCTCTAATTTAAGAAACAAAAATTGTGTGATATATTTTCAAGTAAGTTTGACGCCACTTCTGTTAGTCCTTTGGTCGGAGCGAAAAGGACACAGGTCTCCTACAGTGGTTATCAGCTGCCAACTATTACTTGCAGAAAAACACCTGTAAATAGTTATTACAGCAGCTAAATGACCCAGATGTGCATTCCCCAGGCTGTTGGAATACAGCGATACTGGATTCATTTAAGCAACTGCATTTTTTAATCTTACAGATGTGCCATTTACCTGCATTTATTTAGTCTTGAAATTCTATCAATCTAACCAAGCTTATGTGCCAATTTAATTGTTTTAGTTGGGACTAAAACACGTGTCACAGATGAATCGTGTTATGTGCTTCAAAAAAAAACAAACCCGAGTGCAGGATATGAGAGAACCAGGACAATGAGGACCTTAACAACATTTGTGTATCAAGCACAGTAAATACAGTGAGGAAAGTATCCAGGTACAGTTGTGTGTAACAGAACAAAAGATACCGTTAATGGCTTTCAACTCAGCTGTCTCACTGGTGACAAATTCATTACATCATTCTTGAGATTTAAATACTGAATGAGGTTGTATGGTCTTTCCAAGTGAGAAAATGCTGCTGCTTCCTGTCTTTAAATAGAAAAGCTGAGATTCAGCTGCAGTATTAAGCCTCTCTAGCTTTTACAGCAAGGTTTGTGTTTTTTTTTCACCCCAGGAAAGGTGCCAGCCTACTTCCCAAAGTGTCCAAAATAAATTGTGGTCTTTTGGAACAAAAGTGTTTTTCTGCTAGTGATAATTGGCAGCTGATAAGTACCAACAGAGACCTGTGTGTCAGGTATTTTTGCATCCAATGTGTATGACAAGTTGTCTTTCAAACGTCTATCTCTCTGATAATGAACTTGGCTTATCAAAGTGGAGCTGAACCCTTCCTCTTTAGAGATGGGTGTCCAGCTGCTGTCTGCAGTAAGGAACTTCCTTGGGTAAAGAAACCTGAGCTGCAAGTATCTAACACAAATTTAACTGATGACTCCAACAATCACTGAACAGAAAGATGGGGTGTCTCAGTGTTCATTGCCAGAGCTGACAAAGACAAGGAGATGCCAGTGCTGCAGCAATTAGATAAAATTCCCTTTAATACGTTTTTTTGCAGCCCCTGTATCGTAGGGCTGAGAGCATGGAAGGTACGTGCACAGGGCTACAGTCTCTGCAGGTGTTGGTGTATCCGTGTAGTACCTCCAGCACCATAAAGAGGACTGCTTTGCTTTATTTGACCAATGGTGCATTGGTTATACGTGTGGTGGTAGGAGATTGACCAGCATGGCCCACTCCTGCCTGCTGGGTCACAGTGGGGTTTGGGAGCAGAGCCTTGTGATTAAATACCAAAGATAACAAACACCCAGGCTGAAGTTCCCTTACCCAGCTTCTAATGACTTTTCCCAACAAGTGACAAAATGGGATAGCAAGCTTCCTATTTTCTCATTCCGTAATCCATCAACACTTAAGCTTTGCAGAGTGCGGCACTCAGACTGCAAAGATCCCAGGTGGGTCAGCACTCTGCTTGTCTCTCCTCTCTTGCAGAAGTGGCCAATGCGTTCCAGGTTATACATTGGAGCCACAGGGCAGTTTCTGACTCACTCAGCGCAAGGAGATGATGCAAACCAAGGAGAAACATCAACAGCTCCACAAATCTAACCTCCCTTCTGGCTTTTAAAAATAATTATTTATTACACCTTATATATTTAAGTTAAAAATAGTACCTATAGACAAGCTGCAATTCCTGAAATACTGTTTATAGAGAAGGAATTTGATTCTTAAATGTAATTAATACCTCATTAAGTGAATGTGATGTGTGGTTGGTTCTATCACAGAGGGCATTGCTGGGGTCTGAACAGAGGTATTAGGGAAGGTGACTGCAGCCACCACCAGCAGAAGCGGCTGCTGGTAGAGTGGGACACTGCACCTCCTCTGGGACAAGTGGTGGAGGGGTGTGCTGCAGAGAAGGAGGGAAAAGGCAGGGTGCAGTACTGGCTGAGAGCAGAGCACCGTGGGCTCAGGTGGAAACCAAAAGGCAAGCCTCAAAATAGCAATCAGAATCCTGTCTGCACTTTCTTCACTGCATAAAGCCAATGCTGGAAATCCCACGGACCATGGCTGTCAGGCAAGGGCTTCATCCTTTGGGGAATCTTAGATGTCCAGAGCTATTCCCAGAAGAGTGGATGCATGTTCACCTGCAGTAAAAATGTGCTGAGGTCTGTCTTGCAGCACCATGTCCAATAGCCACGAGCTGCTCTTGCACATTAAGTATCACTTGTGTCAATCCATGATTGTGGTGCATGTTTAAAATGTGTTTAGGTGTTTTCCCTTGCACAACCACTTATCTGCTCAAGACACTGAGGAGCATTTCTCTATTCTTTTAGTGGGCCCATGTATTGAAGCAGGTGAACTTCACGTTGAAGCCTGAGGAGTTAGTTTGTTCACAGCACATTTTTCACTAAAGCAGCATCTGTATTTAGGCAGGAAAAGTTGAAACTAAGCGCATAAGTGCCATCTGATGTGTCTGTTCTGTAAAACACTGTACTACTTGTTATTGCCGAGGTAAACCTTTTATTAAACATTATTCAGTGAACATTATATACTTACCAAGTTGTAAAAACTGCCTGTTTTTCATTGTACAGGACTGCTAGTTTTTAATAGTAATACTCTGCATTTAGAGTAACTTCTTTCTGAAGACTTAATGGTTTAAGTTCTAAAATTACATTTAGGAAAAAGCAAAACAAAAATACTAGGAAGAACAACCTTTTTATATATATATATATATAAATATATATCTATTGTTCTTGGTCTTGAGTCAAACCTGTGATGTCTTTCAGAGGTGCTGAGCTGAGTGCCCAGGTTCACAGAACCCCAAGCCCCTGGCAAAAGAGAGAATCATTAGAAAGAGCTGGACAAACCATCTAAGATGGCAGTATGGTGAAAGTGTGGGCTGCCATCACCCCTGCAGCACTCTGAGCTTTTAGCAAGATTATTCTTTTAAATAGTAAACGTACTTTAAATATTTGAAATACATTTAATATATATTTTAGGCATCTACTTCATATTTCCAGCTGGAAATGGTAAGTGGTTTATTAAGATATGATGGTTACACTGCCAGGGCACCACTCAACACGGGAGCTACTCCATTTTGTGAAAAAATACATACAAAAGAGTAGTTCTGCATACAGAAATATCTACTCATGGATAAGAGCCTGACTTTTTAAAGTGTATGTGCTTTCCATATTACTAAAAAGTGGGTTAGCACAACCTCTTATCATGGGAATGGTTATTTGTGTGTGGGGTTCTTAATGAGGCAATGTGAAGGAGTTGTAGAGGTGATGACAGTGAAGTAAGAGAGAGTGACAGAGCAGTGAGGGTTCTCAGGAGGACTCAGCTGTACGAGATGAGGGTGAGACAGATCACGCTTCAGACAAATGTTAAATGGTGACACAGAAGCACAGAGAATTCAAACTAGTTTTGTGTGCAACTGAGATCTGAACGGGTGGCACTGGGGAGAAAAGGGCAAGTGAAATCTCAGCCAGAACTCAACATCAAACCTTGAGCTGCTGCTGTGGAGCAGCAGTGTGACAGTAAAAACAGACCATGTGTGACTCAAGCACACAGAACAGCGTGAGGAAAACAAAAACTGTGGTTATGGTCCGCATCAACTGTGTGCTCTCACCTAGCACAGTGGTGCTGGTTACTTCATGGGCTCTTAAATAATGCACCTGGAAGGGACAGAATGCCAGAAAGCAGGAAAAAAAACGGTGATAAAAATGATAGGTCCCCTGTTGTTTTTAAAGGCCTCTTTCCTCTAAATGTAAATGAACGACTTGGAGTGTTTATCCATGAAGTAAGCATGAAAAATGGAGAGTGATAAGGGTTAAAATCATAGGAAGTTATGCATGGATGGTATGAAGAGGACATGTCTACTCAAACTTTGATTACAGTAAGCGTGTAGTATTCACAATGCTTGGAAGGCAGAGGGGCCAAGCAGTAAATTCCATGTCTACTGTGCACCTCATCTGCAGAAGCTGTGGCTACAGAGGTGACAGCGCAAAGATCTCAGTGGCATTCTACAGATGCCTTAAAGGCCAGTGAGATCTGGACAGTTACAACAGAACTCAATAGTTACCTGAGAACCCCCCATCAGTATGAGCTGGGATTTTTTTATTCCAAGACATTACTCAGCATCAGCTGCAAATTTGTATGCCTTTTCCCCCAGCACCAAGACACCAGGCTGGCAAACCCACTTCCTTCCACCAGTGCAAGAGCTCATTTTCCAGGAATCTACATCAGGATCAAAACAGATCCTCTGAACCTCTTTGTTTCAAATCTGATGCCTGGATCCAACGCCAGGTTTCTTAGGAACAGTTCATACCATTGTATACTGAAACAACAGTTTGGCACTGGCACTGGAAATAGGTGCTTAGGAATAAAACCGTGATATTCACACACCGCTATCAGAAGTAACATAAAAGTCTTAGCGAACCTCAGTTACTGAAATCCCAGCTTTTCCTTGAAAGGGATAGGACTGGTAAACCTTAAAGGCCGTATCTAAATAACCTGCCTATGCAAAGCCTGCTGCACATCCATCTTTTCCTGACACACCCTATTGCGGCTGTAACTGCAGCACCGTGCCTTGCAGCCACACGGCACCTTCCCTTAGCACACACCCCGCCAATCCCTCCTCTCTCCCCGAGACCTTTACGACAACGCACTCATTGTGCTTGTGTAAACTAAGGAATGACGACACCACAAACACGAATTTTCCATGGCTCTGACTTCTCAAAGGCCGACTGTGGGAACGGAAGCGTTTTGAACGCCGGGTTGTACATGAGACACACCAAAAAGCAAGCGAAGGCGCTCCCACCCCTGGCAGTCCTGTCTGTAACCCGCCTGGAACGACCCACCTCGGTTTTCTCAGCGAAACCGCCGCCCCAGGAGCCGTCCCGCACACACAGCCCCGGGGCTGCCGCCAGCTCCTCCACACCGGGCCCGGCACGGCGGCCCCGCCGCTCCCTCGGCGCCCGCGGGCTCCCGCGACACCGCCGGCTCTCCTGCCCCAATTCCAGCGGGAGCGCCGTTACGGTGGCCGCGGCACCAACGGACCGCGCGTCCCCGCAGTGCCGAGGACGAGCTGTGTCGGCGGCGGCCTGAGGGCGGGAGACCAAGGCGACGGGTACGCGGGTGCCACCCGAGGGCCTAGCGCTGGGGGCTGCCAGGACCCCGCCGAGACAGGCCGAGCCCCGCGCTGCGGCAGAGAAACCGACACCGAGCGGCATCGCAACCCTCCCGTGCGCGTGCGCGCGCAGCCTCGGTCAGGCCCCGCCCCGCCGCAAAGAGCCGCGGTGGCGCGCGCGTTTCCCGCCCCTGGCGCGCGGCCTATTTAAGGGGGTCCCGGAAGGAGCTTAGCCCTTTGGCGCGTCCCGCGGGCGGTGGGACCGGTTGTGGTGGGTGAGGGCTCGCTGGGTGTGGAGCGCCCTGCGGCGGGCTCCGGGTGTCGGTTCAGGCCGGTGCGCCCGCGTTTGCGGGACCCGCGCTGCAGGAGCGGCCCTCGGCGGTGCCGATCGGTCCGGCGGCGGGGACGATGTACGGTAGCTCTGTGACTTGTGCGCGGCTCCGTCCGTGGCGCAGCCGCCCGCACCGAAGCCGTAACTTGGGCCACCGGGCGGCTGTGCGGGCCCTCCGGCAGCGGCCGAGGGAGTGGTGGACCCGGCCTCAGGGGCGTAGCCGCTGCCTCCCCGAGGCAGCTCCTCCGGCAGAGCATATGCTCGTCCAAGCAGCAGAGCCGTTTCGCGCTTTTTTTTCAGAGGAATTAGAACTGTTCTCTGGTGTTCAGCTTCAGCGGGGTTGGAACTGGATGATCTTTAAGGTCTCTTCCGACCCAAACCAGGCTGCGGTTGTAAGTTCAATTCTGGCAGCGCAAAACCATACAACCTCAGGAGCTGAAGGGGCGGGTTGCTGGCACCTTTCCCTTAACGGCGAAAGACATCACTTACAGGTGAGCAGTTATCACCCTGTTGTAACTCTTTCGGCTGCCAAGCGTAGTGGCTGTGTGCTAACAACAGGCTGAGTCTGGATGCTGGAGTTGTGGAGTACAGGCTGACGCCCGTTGGCCACAAAGGGACGTGTGTGTGTTGTGAAAGTAAGAGGGACCTTGGTAGTGTGCTGTGCTCTGTTGCCAGCGAGAGCTGTGGTGGTCGCTTTACCTCTTGACTCATCGAGTCGTCAAAGGAATGACAGATCAGACATCCAGAGAGACTCGGTTTTGCTGATAAATCATTTTCATCGGCAGATGCATGTCCTAATTCTGAAGATAAATGGCCTCTTTTCTCCTTTTGGGAATTTGGCAAGTGGTGTGTGGTGACCCTGACTGCCCTGTAGCTGTGGCCTCTCAGGGAGCGGGAGCATGACCCCAGGGGCTCAGTGGTCACTGTGGCCATGCTTTCCTGCCAGAACCATCGTGTGAGTGCTGACCCTAACTCAACCAATAGGGAAATGGGTCAGTAGTGGTGGGTGAGCTGGGGTTAAAGGCTGTACCCTGCTGGGGTACTCCTCTCCCCAGGGATGGCTGTTCTTCAGGATCAGTGTAGCATTCCTGCAATCAGTCATTCTTGACGTGGGAGCTCTCTAGGTGAATCCTGTCTAACCAGCAGCTCAGCTGGTGCTGTCAGTAGTTGTTATCCCCAGGTAAGGACAAAGGCAGCAGTGAGGTAGCTGTTTGTTTGACTCGCTTACTTTCCCCAAGGAAATGTCAATGCTTTTGGCTACTGGCTCAGCAGTGGAGTTCTCTAAATGAAATGTCATTGATTTCTTTTCACTGTTTCAGGCAGCAAGTGAAGTTATGAGTTTGTTACTGGCTTTGGGAATCCTCAGTCTGGACCCTGCTATGCTGTTGCCTTGCAAGCAGAAAGATGTCACATGAATTCTGGAGCTACAGAAGTAATTATTTCTTCCTGTACCTAAAAATGTTGAGGAAAGCCTTCTGAAATCTAGAGTTCTGAAGATGCTTTTTGGCTTGTAAATTCTCTTACAGGTGGAACAGGGAGAAATATGCTTACATGTAGTGTTAAGAGGTTGAAACTCAGTAACAGAAGCTGTTATGCCAGCTGTAAAACCTCCCAGACGTGCTCCAAATCAGATGTAACCCAAGAACTCTGAAGGAATTGTAAGGGAGAGGTTTGTAATAGTATCAGAGAGTCTAGTTTTTAACTGGGGTGGGAAACAAGGCTTCTGCTGTGGAGAACTGAGCGATTGAAGAACAGTGTGTTCAAGTCACTACTTTTACTGTCATTTAGCTGTGTCAGTCTACTGGAATATATCCTGAAGGGAAAGGTGGCTGCAGCACTAAACTTCACCTCTGGAAAGATACTTGGCACCTGGGGCTTGAATTAACAGGGAGGGACCTGTATTTTTGTACTGAAAGAGCTTTTTTCTCTTGCTCCTATCTCTACTGAAACCATTCTGTGCTTAACAGTTACAAATAAGGCTCTCCTTCAGTTTATAGAAGTGAGTATCTTGAGACAAACAAATCCCCTTGTGTTTGATACCTTGGGAACATGACAGCAGCCTTACAACAGGCAGGAACCTGTTTGCTGGCATTATGATGATCACTCTTTGCCGTTTACCCAGCTGAAATGTGTGATGAGCAGTGTTGTATCTGAGGTGCCAGCTAACTAGGAGGGTTTTCCCAGTTTAATTTGCTACCACCAGTTCTGATTTTATTCATCATTTTAAAGGTGCTGTGACATCACATGACCTCCACTGTCTCCAAAACCTGCGTATGCACATACAGGCAACAGCAGACTCCATCCACCTCTAGAAGAATGGGTTTTTAAGGTGGTAAGTTGCTTTTTTTACAAAGCTAGTTAAGTAACTGGTAAGTGGTACTGATGAAAGCCTGTAGTGACCACACTTGCTGCTGCCTGGAGCTGTGCAGGCTTCCATTGGCAGGAAGTGTTGCCTGTTAGGGACACGTCTGGACTACTGACTGACTTTGTTGACCTTCAGTTGTGGTACTGCTGCTTGTCTTCTAATTTATTGTTTGAAACAGCCCAGAAGAAACTGGGGAGAGGTGAGGATAAGGTCACATTGGATAGGGTACTGAGCAACCTTGTCTAGTGGAAGATGTCCCTGCCTGTGGCAGGGGGGGTGGAACTGGATGGTCTTTAAGTCACAAACCATTTCATGATTCTGTAATAAAAAGCTGTGCTGTTAGAGAAAACCCTTTTCTGAGGATGTACCTTCCTTAATACAGCTTTGCAAAAATAGTGATTTATAAAGGTGTTGTATTAAGTTTATTTTAGGAGAACTTTTGCTGGCATAATGATGAAATCTTTGCCGTTTACCCATCTGAATTTTTTCTGATGTGTATCTTTGACTCTGACATGCCAGTGCAGTTAGCCTCTTTGTGTAAGATCAGTTAAGGGCACAGAACACTAGTTTTGAAATTTCTTTTTTTCTGTTGTGTCTGTCCTTAGCTTGAACACAGCAGCCTGAAATTTGGAGTCCTAATGAGCTTGGAAATGCTTTCCTGGCCCTTCCTGTTCCTCGGAAATACGGCTTGATTCAACAGGAAAGAAAGGGAGCAGCTGTTCTGTGAACAATCTTCAAATTATGTTCAGGTGAAACTCTAGAAAGGGAAATGGTCCTGTGGGCACTTGAAGAACTCATACTGAGTATTTGAATGTACCAAACAGAACAAAATTGGAACGAATCAAGTGTTAAAACCTGCAGGAAAAATTGTCTAAATCAGAGTGGTTTTGGCAGCGTGTGTATGAGTAAAATCTTGGGTTTCTGTTTTCAGTGACTGATTTTTTGTTGAGGTGATGTGAGGGGTACGTCCTGCTGGACACCCTGGGTAGGAGTCACACCAAGCAAACCTTTGGTTTTCAGCTTGTCAAGAGCTGACAGCCTGTACAATTTTTCTGCTGCCTTTTGTTTAACCAGGGCCGTTTTGGATGTAAAACTTGGTCAGTGTTCTTTCTATTACCTTATCCTTGTCAGGAAGATGGAATTCAGGGAAGTCCATGGTTGTAAAACCTTGTGGTGTCTTGAACACCTCATATTCTACCACACCATTCTTTACAGTGTTTTTTGCAGTGAGATAGGAGTTGATCTCATTGAGCTGCCTACCCACCAGGTTATCTAATAGCTTTTTTGTTTCACTTTCCTGTAGGGTTCTACTCTCCCCTGCAGTCTCTACACAGTAATGTGGAAATACTGTGGTTTTTTAGACTGCAGGAGCATCCTGGGCATCCTGTGCTAATATGGTGCTGTAAATGTGAAACTAAGACACAGAACATCAAGCAGCATGGTGATGCTTTTATACATTTTACAATTTACAGAGCATGAGTAATTTAAGAAAGTTGGCTTATGCTGGGAACCTACCACCCCTCATTGGGTGGTATATTTAAAAAGAAGCAACAAGAGAAACTTTTTGGAGACAGATTCTAAACTCCTGGTTTAATTCTTAGCTGTAGTCTTATTAAAAGTCCTGCTTTACTCCTCACTTAGCTGTGGATGAACAGTGGTAACCAGGAAGTCAGGTTCTGGCTTTATTCTGTAGCTGTGGCCTCAGGATGAAGATGTAACTCCTGCCTCTCAAACAACACTGTCACAAAGTTTGTAATTAAATCTTGTCAACCATGCTTTATTCCTTAGCAAACCAGCACTGAACCGTCTGACAAAAACACTAAAAACTTACTAGTTGTATATTTCTATCTGCAGTCTTGGAAGCCTAAAGATTCAGGCTTCACTTGCACAATGGGGTTTTCACTCTTCATTAGTGTTAACGTGAATTCCTGGGCCATACGCACCAATGAACTTAAGCAGTTGATGGTGACACTGTATGAGGTAACTGTCTCTCTGTTGCAGGGAGTTTTCATCATTGAGGTCAAATGGAAACAGAGGATTTGGTGCTATGCATAATGCAGACTTGCCTAAGCAAAGAAGAAAGAATTGTGCTAAAAGATGTGATAAACTTTTGCCAGACCTTCCATCTGAAGGGGAAAAAAAGCTGTGACACAGATTACTTAAATGGTAACATAGAAGATTGTGTTATGGAGTGTTACATAGTAATACTTGTCTCAGTGTCAGATTTGTGACTAATGCTAGATAAAACAACAAAACCCCCCAACCCTTGTCTTCCGTTTCCCCAAGGAGGGAAATCTGCCAGCATAAAGGACAGCACTGACTATGTGGCAGAGTCTTCAGTGCAAGTTCTGGACTTTGATTTGAAATGAGCTATTCCTACAATCGATGATACAAACTTTTTTCAAACTGACAAAATTTGAAAACTCTGTACCAAGACTAAAGACTTGAGTTGCATTAGTTACCGTGTTTTAGGGTCAGAGATGATTCAAGGAACAAGATGGCAATCAGCGCATCTTCCTCAAGTACTTTCTTTCTTAAACTTAGTTTAGCATGAGCCTTAGACAATGAAATCCTGAGAGATTAATACAAGCATATCAGAAATAAATACTGTGTACATTAATGTAGTATGTATTGTGCTGCTTCAAGCACTTCCACACCTCAAAAGTTAACACAAGTGGGTTTTTCTTGTATTTTGGCTGTGTAACTCCCCCAGATACTGTGGAGTTACTTGTCACTGACAAGTGTCACTAGGCATGATTTTCTCACGCTCTGAAAGCAGTGGAAGTTGGCATATTATATACTGTTAATACCTTTATTTTCATAACAGCAGGCTGTAATAACTAAAATCCCATTTTTCTAGATAGCTTTAATATTGAAAATTGTTTCTTAAATCATGGGTTTTGTCTGGCAAAGTTCTTTAAACTTTTTTTTTTCCTCCAACATCAATATGTAAAATAAATGGCATTTATAAATGGTGAGATTCTTTATGCTTGAACTTTTCAAAACTTTTGAGTCCTGTCTAGATTTTTACTTAGCAAGCTCCTGAGTAGCTCAGCACAATTTCTATTTGAAATGTAGGTGTGTTTCCTTTATTATGAAAAGTAGGACATACAGAATTTTTAGTGCAGATGCTGATAGTGTTGATCCATGAGTAGAATCTCTTCTCACTCTGCGACTTGCAAGATAGTAGCCCTGAATGAGGCTTTCTGCTTCTGGACTCAGTTCAACATGAAGATTCTTAGCAAACAAAATAAACTGGAGAGAGGTTATACATTTTAATATTTAACTGGAAAATGAAGAATTTACCTTTTTTATGCCTTTTAACATGCCAGTGGCATAGTAGTGTAGTTTAGGCAATGTATTCTAGAAATATTTTTTTAAAGACAGCTGTCACCATTCAGCTGTGTATAAGGAATGCATCTCAGATGCTAAACAGAATCGTCTGTTAATTATTCTAGAGGCGCTGACAGTTTGTTTAGAATGGAATACTAACTTTTACTACTAATTGTAAACTATTCCTGTCAAAAGTAGGTACTGGAGATCAGTTCTCATGTCAGTGTTAACCCAGGATGTTTTTCAGAAACAAGATCAAATGGAATTTATTATGCTGGTCCTTTTAAGGAACTCAAGCTAATGTTATCAATGATCCTGTTAGTACTGGTGGGAATGTTGGGTGGGGTGGGGAAGGGTAGAAAATGAGCGTTAGCAGTCTGAATGTGGAGAGAACCTTCCAATCCCAGAAACAGTATGATATTCCCAAGTATAATGCACTTTTAAATTACTGGGTAGTATTTGTTACCTCCTCGTAATCCTGCATTCTGAACTGCTGGGAGACTTTGTACAGCATGGCTTCAGGATGAATGGCTTTTTTCAAGGTATGGTGTACCAGAGGTGAAGATTGTTGGCCTGAAGGAAACTCATTGTGTATCAAAAGTCCAAATCCATCTACAAGGTTAGGTGGAATCAAACTCATGTCCTAGAGGGAAGACCCAGAGAAAGAAAACAGCTACTTCAGTTTAGCATGATGAGCTGAAGTCCCTGAAGATGTGACTTTTTGGGAAATACAAATTTGAATATGGTTATTTCGACTCATGAAACAAAGTAAACACATGGCTGCTGTAGTACAGTTAGTCATAACAAAGCATGTGCTTTACCATCTGTCCAATTAAAAAGTTGTCCTTTTGTATATGTTTCTTTGAGGAAGAATCCACATAAGACCAAAAGTTGGTCTGAAGTGAAATAGTAACTTGCTGGTCAACCTCTTCTCCATACTTCTTCCCGGGAATGAAGACTGTTGTTGTTCTGCTCTCTAGCACTAGGATAAGAAAAAATACATCAGTTTAAATCCTAACTCCCCCCCCCACTATCTGAAACCAGTCACGATTATGTATTTACTGAATTGTCACAATCAATGGAGTGATCTCTGCCTGTGTAGCAAATGTAAGCTTACGGGACCTGGGCTTTTTTGTCCTGTATATTTTTTTATTTTTTTTTTACACAGACTTACTAAAACCAGGTTAAAGCTTTTCACAGCATTTGAGGGCCATAAACTGGGAGACATACCTAGCCATAAATTTGCATGTTTGTTTTGTTCTGTCCCCTCATTAGGCATGAGATTACCTGACTGTAGAAGTTCAAGTTTATCCTTTTTATATGAAGCCAGGTCTCCTATGTAGCAGATACCACCCTTGGCCAGCACAGCACTGCAAGCTTGAATACTAGCGCTTCCAGTTCCGTGTTTGTCTTTGGACACAGAAGGGAAAATGTCACTGTAAGGTGGGTGTCGTATGCCACGAGGCAGAAGACAGAGGCTGTAATTCAGAAGCCTAAAAGATTAAACAACAAATTGTAAAATTATTGTTCAGTTTTCAAAATCTAACAACACTTTATAATAGTATTTACATATTTGCCGTCACCGTCCTAGCTAACTAGGCTGTGGCAGTTAAACCTCAGGTTTAAAGGGTGGGGCCAGTTCTGCGCAAGCTGCGCTTCACCTAAAAAAATCCACTGTGCAGGCTGGAAGGGTTTACTCTCACTTGTCTGTATGGACGGGCAGGGGTCTAAACAGTAGGTGACAAGGTGCATGGGAAGCTGCAGATCCAAAGTTGCATGTGGGTGGACCAGCACATGGGTAGCTCGAGTTAGCTCAGGAGTTGACAGTCGTGGTCGGACACTTCTTGATTGCCTAAGCATCCTTTTTTTCCAACCAGATTTGGATAGCCCACATGCCCTTGGTCATCGTGCTTTTAGTAAGCGTGGTTAAAGCCCTTCCCAAAATCTTTGCTTGTGAAGCCAAGCCATCAATTTACATATATTAAGACTCAGAAGCAACAACAAACCCAACGTAAAACTTAAACATAAAACCAGTGTCAAAACTTAAATGTTTGAAGTAACTCTGTGTCCAAAGTACACGAACGTAGGAGGCCAAGCCGCCTCTGCAACAGCTCCCCGCAGGACTGTATTCCCTATGGATTTAACGTGAGGCAAATTGTGGTTTGCAATAAAAGTAATTCCTAAGAAGTCAAAGAAGTCTCATAATTTAACCCTATATTGTTAATTCCTGTTCCTCTTCTAAAGAAACTTTTCCCTCAGTCTAGGAGGGTATGGCATTAGTAATCCTGACCATCTGGGATAAATGAAAAATCTGGGTGGGAACTTGCAAGCTCTGCGTGCACTTACTATTATTTTAAAAAATACTCTTTTTTTCATTCTAACCTATATGAAAAATAAGCAATCTCTTTACCTATCAATTACTAATGTGTCAGTTGCCACAGTCAACAGATCCAGGTAATCTGCATTTTCTTTTTCACACGTCTGTACTAGACTCAGCAATATTGCCAGTTTGAGCGTATTGTAAGTGCCTGGTGGAACAACTTCAGAAGCAAAGATATTGGCAAGGATGGCAGTAAACCTCCAGCATGAACTTGCAGTCAGTGACAGCAGATACTTAAAATTGTCACTGACAAAGGAAGGACCTAATGAAAACAAAGTACAGGTTAACAAATGCTTAATAAGACAACTGTGCAGATATATCAGAACAAATCACCAGTTTAGTCTTGATGCAAAACTGACAATTACTATGTATTAAGCACAGATTCAGAATGTAAGCATCTGACACCATTAATTTTACTACTAAAAGCTAGCAGACATGATCTGCTAAAACTGACAGGCTAAGAAAGGAATAACAAACTGAAATAATCAGGTTTATCTAATGTATGATTTCAAAATAGTTTTCAATGGATAGGAAAAGTTGGAAAGAGAAGTTGGAAGGATGGCAGTAAATAATGATGTAGTTTCCCAATGTGTGGAAAGTGGGCAAAGGAAGATGTTCTCAAGGAACAGAAAGCATGCATTGCAGACAGAAGAAAAGTCGCAGAGTGGTTTCATAACCTGGACCTCCAGATAACAGAAAACTCCACCAGTTCTCAAGATTTTGTTCTAGAAGATTTTTAATGGAACTTTTCTTACCACTTGGTTTACAGAGCTGTATGCTATTGATTTCTATACATGCTGTAGCTTGTAAGCCATTTTGTACACAAGCTGGAATTCCTATAATCTTGTAGTGGTTTCCTATTTTCATTTTATTGGCCAGTTCATCTAGAAATAAAAAAAATGGAAGGGGAAGGGAGAAACCTGCAGATGTGTGAGGTATAAACCAGTTAGTTAAAAAGACATGGTCAGAAACTGACATTCAGCTTACCTCTCAAGAAAACTGTGAAGGTCTGAATCCTGAAATGTGATTTATCATTGGAATATCCTTTCAAAGCGTTCAGAACTTTTGCATCAATCATTTCAACTATTTGCTTATCTTTCAAAACAAAGGCAAAGAAAAGGTTAGTTATCTAGAAAACAGTATGGCTTTTAGTAGTATTTTTATTAAATGACTGGTTTATTTTATGGTTCTATGATTTTCAAGTTTTTTCCATTTCACCATTTTGCTTACTTACTGTTTAACAGAAGTAGGAAAGTAATACAGATAAAACTACATAGGTCCTACCACCAAGTACTCTAAATTTCATGTCTTCCTGCAGTGGTGAAGAACACAAACCACACACAAAATCATTTCTCACTGTGGCAGATTCTGTAGCTCCAGGCAGATGCACTCTTATGTACCTAAACCCTAAAAAGAAATTATTTATGGAACATTTAAAATGAGGACATGGCTTTCAAATTTCCCATTCTGTATAGACATGATACCCTGTCTCTGTAAGTGTTGAAGGCCAGGGTGAACGGGGCTATGTGTGGTATAGTGGACATGTCCCTGCCCATGGCAGGGGGTTTGGAACCAGATGATCTTTAAGGTCCATTCCAACCCAAACCATGCGATGATTCTATGGTTAAAATACTGGACACTGAAATGCCAAAAGTATCATGTGTTTCTTTGGATGAGCATACGTTCATGTACTATGCCTCCAATAAAATTATCTCTGTCGTTTATTGCAGGCTGACCACAAGATGGCAGTAGCTCCTACGGCACATTCGCAAGCAGAAAAGCCTGGGGCGGCTTTCTGAGCGGTGGGACGGAAGCCACTGCCGCCTCTGCCTCGCCTGGAAATGCCATGGAAAAACGGATATTCATTACGAAAGGTACGTGCCCTCATAAAGGCATCACTATGATTTATTCTGCAGTCTCCTAACTTCGGGATTTGGCTTTTCTTTTATTATTCATGGTCTATGTTACAGGAAGAAGCAGACAAAACAGCCTTAAAAGTCCTTAAGGCCTAATCCTGCAACGATGGAGGCAGTTCAGTAATATTACTGAAAGAAGTTGTTCCACTGAAGTGAGCTACTTATTAAAACAAACTTGTTCTACACTAGCAGTTTTTGCCAGTCATTTAAGGATACTGTTCTACAGTGTACAAATACACACAGAAACACAGTTTCCAAGGGAAAAAAGTATTCTGCTAGCTTAGCTTTTTTCTTTCAGTTTATATGAGAAAATATGTATGCCAATATAATTTAATAAATTATCTTCATCATTAGGAAAATGGATTGCTGGCATTGCTGTGCTTCCAAAACATTTAATAATGCTGAGCAACCACTGGCAGGGTCCACTGCTTTCAATTAACAGAAATCATACTGTGCTCGTTACAAAAATATATGCATAATAAGACTGCATAGAAAAATGCCTTTGTCATGCTGGGGTTTTAGCTCTTAAATTATCAAAATTATTATAAAGCTTCTGAAATAGTACCAATTTTTTTTTATTACCTTTAGAAAATTGGCAGGTTTCCTCAGTACAAAGAAATCTTGCTCCTTGTGTATATTTCGTTACAATTCCCATTGCAATTGCTATTCCTTCAGACATATAAAATCTTTGAGATGTGTAATTAAAGGGAAATGCAGCAAGATTCAGAACATAACTTGGTAAAGGTGGCAAATGGGTTGGTTTCAGCAATATACTGATCTAACAAGAGACACAATCACATTAATACCATCAAAATATTTGTTTGTTTGTTTTAAACCCACTTTACTTACATGGACAAGCATACAATGTGATATATGGCAATTAGAAAAATCAGAAATGCATGAGGTTTCATATTAATTATCTCTAAATTCTTGCGATAGGGTTGGGTGAGATTTCCAGCTATTTTTAATTACAACTAATACTACAATCCAAGGGAAAAACGCTAAATGAAAAGTTAATGTAAAAATAATACTAGTTAATACTTCACCATGCTTGAAAGATTTAAAATCTAAATGGAGGAAAACTGCAGCCTCACCTGGGCCTCTGTCTGCAGTTGTTCAATTATTGATAATGTCTTAATAGCTATGAAGCACACCTGTGATTGACAAATCGTGTCATTTTAGAAAGGAAAATCTAGTTAAAATGTAGAAGATGTACTTTTGTCTACTCTTGTCTATCAGTCTGTACTTACTGACTGAAAAATCTGTGCAGCTTGTATGGGATTATGAAGAATATAGTTTCCAAGAGTTGCATCTAATTCAGCAATATCAGAAGGGTTTATTGAAATAATGAAACGATAAACAGCATAACTTTGTTTTGAGTCTGTAGGAGCAAAAAGTATCTCAAATAAAAAACAACAGAAGACTTATGTAACATTATGTATTAATTTAACAGACTATCTGTTGAGTAATACCACTGTATTTTTTGCAATCCTGCATGAATTTCTGAAGGCCACCACTTCTGTCCAGGTAAACAAGGGCAACTTCCCTCATCTTCTGTATTTCACGATGCATCTTCCACGGAAGACCTTTGTGCTATTTATCAAAATGTTGGAATAAACTGTGAAGAAATAACGTTAGAGCTGTCCAAGCTATGATAACAATAAAGGGAAATATGAACAAAGCCATACAAGTAAGTCTCTTTTTCAGACTATGCAATTCTCTAAGGATTTTTAAAATTCAGTGGAAAGTTCTTTCCAATGGCTGAAGCATACTACATTCCCAAAGTAAATTCTTGGAGAATGCTCTGGTGTTTTCTTTTCTCAGTGGTTTACTTCACTGCTCAATTCCCTAACCCATGAAATGAAAGCTTCAATTTAACTTCCCTCTATATTTTATAGGTATAATCAGCCTATCAAAAGTAGGACTTAAACACTTCCCTTACCTAAGAAGTCTGTCTTGGCTGCTAGAAGTGCAAAACTGGACATATTCTCCCCTTTTTAAATCTGACTTTCCTACTCTGCTATTACCTCCTATATTACCCACTTAAGGTGCTGATCTTGCACACACTTATTTCCAACCATGTACACAGAAGATCAGTCCCAACTCCCACAGACAAAGCTTTAACAACTACAGTTTTGGATTGGAGGCTGTGCTCTTCAGTGTTGCTTTCATTGTGTACTGCTGCATAATTATTTTCTTTTTAAAGCAGAATCTCGTGCCACAAAGCATTACTTTGCTGAATTTAGAGGGAGGATTACTAAGGCCAAAATACAGCATTTTGTATATATGTATCTGTTTTACTGTCTTACAGATTTTCTTCCACAAAGCGTCCTTTATCCTCTCTGTTGATGACCAATATAAAAATGCCACTTCAATCTTCAAAAATAGATTTAGCTTCCTAGTAGAGGGTAAGACACAAAATTATTGGGCTGATGAGGAATCAAAGCTCATAGCATATGAAAGATCCCCTGTAGTTCACAGAACTGGCTTTGGGAAGACAAACAGATCAACATCAGAGATGAGTAACTGAATACTAGTGCAACACCAGTGCAGCAGCAGTGCAAACTATTGACTGACAGTTGTACGCTGTGGCCGGGTAGATGTGTTTAGTGCCCAAAGCATCACATTTTAAACACAAGTTGGAAGATAGTTTATAGTAGAGATTTACACACACACAGAGTTTCTTTAGGTCTACTCCTACGTGATTAGTGATTCGTCCCTCAAAATGGTTATCAAGAAGGGGTTATAGAAACACATACACAGATTCACTATGCCTCCCCTCCCTGTGTTCCCCAGGCTAGAAGGGACACCAAACACGACTAGGAAGGATTAAACTATGGCCCAGGTCATCGTACACTAAATACTGTCAGCACCTAAACTTCAGAAAGTCTGACCTGTCCCACTACGGGGGTGATGGTGTTCATCGGTGCTCCCCACAGCCAGCGATACCCAGCACCGCCTCCTGGCTTCCAGCTCCTGCCACCCACCTCCCCTCCCCTCCATAAACCTCACTGGCGCTGCTTCCCAAGTGCTCTACAGGTTCATATGCCGCCCTCTGCAGCACTGCTGTGTCGGCAGCAGTGGGTACAGAGACCGACCGGGCTCTTCACACCGCAGCGGGGTGTGGCGCCTTCCCCCTCAGGGCGCCGCTGTACCCGCGGCAGAGGCCAGCTGCGCCGCTTACGAGCTGGTACCGAGAGGCTCCACAGCCTCCGGCTGCTGCCGCTCCCTCACGCCCTCAGCCGGGGGCAGCCGTGAGGCAACGGCCCCGCGCGGCCCGGGCGGGAAAGGCGCCCGCGCTCTCTCCCCACTCCAGCCTCTTGAGGCGCCGCCACCGGGGCCCTGAAGAGCAGCGTCGCGGTTGAGGACGGCTCCCGAAACCCAGCGGCTGCACAAGCACAGCCGCCAGCACCTCTGTTGGAGGACTCTGCCCCGTTAAATACGGCTACTGTGGGCGCACGGCCGTTCCTTTACTTTGGCCAGCGCATGAGGCAGGGCACCAGGAAAGTGTCATGCACTCAGTGTAGCAAGTACTAAATACCAATGTAAAACCATTTTCTCTCATTAATAAATACTGCATATTTAACTGCTGCCTATCCCGCCAGCCATCTGCAAACTTATCTCACAGAACAGTGTATCTACACTTCTTCTGTTGCATTTCATTCAGTTTGTGTTTTTACAACTGCCATACAGGCCATCTTGCTGCCTCTCCCACTCCCATCCCATGTCCAAACCAACAGAGCTGGTGCAACTTTCCTTTGCTTTCGTGGCACCAGGAGAGGTCTGCTCCTCACAGGGCTGGGATGTACCTCTCTGGAAGGGAGGAACAACTTCCCTTCACTAAGGACAGGCAAAACCCCCTCCGTTAGTCACAAAGTCAAATTTTACCTCCCTTTATTACCCATCTGCCAAAACAGAAAGGGAGCACCACAGGTGGTTCCTGGGTAGGGTCTCTGACTATCTCCTGTCCAGGCTTTACCACAACTAGTGCTTCCGAGCTCACTTGCCAGCTCAGCACTGGGTGAAGGAGCTGTGACACTCTGAACCTATCTTACTTTGAAACCCATCATCATGGGATGCAGGGAGATGAGGAACAAGAGCACTAGGTGCCGAAGCACTGCTGTGAGCCTGTACTGCCTGATGCTGTACCCAGTCTGTTATCTTCACAAGGTGGGAGCTGACCCAGGCATTTCACAACATGAACTTACAGTAGAACAAAGTGAACTGAACTATTTCAAGTGGTATGTTTAACAAATTCACACTTCACCAAAAAGGCAGAGCCTGCAGACAGAAAAAGCTTTATAAGCAATTACTGAGCTGCTCTCCTAGAAATAACTACCACCACCACCATCTTAAGAAAGGCAAGAAACCCTAAATTTGTCATAACCCTCTCCCCAAAACCCTTCACACAGTCAGGCAGCTAGGTACAAGATGAACTGAAAGGGGTGTTACCTTCCCCAGCAATAACTTCTTAAGGATCCCCTCTTCCTGTCTCTCTACAATGCTGTACTTCTTTGCCATTAAGGCAGTTACAGTAGCCCACAATAATTTCAGCAGTATACAGAGCGAAAATCTGGTATGAGAATGATGGACGCTTACATTCTCACACTCAGCTTCTGCTTTCAAGTCCATCAGAAAGACATGAGTTTTGGTGTTTGGTTTGGTTTTTTGTTTTGTGTTTGTTGTTTTTTTTTCCCCCAAAAGGGCAATGCTGCTGCTTCCTCATTATTATAATGGCAGTAACAGGATTCATGTAGTTGCTGGTTGTTCTGACCGTCTGCACAGCTATTTCCAAACCTCTCAAAATTCCAGAGCAGCACCACAGTAAATGAGAGCCAACCCACTACTTCACTTCCACAAACAATCGAGGTCCTTCCTTCCATACCAATGTCAATTCTTACTTCTTTTACCCAATCACTCCTTCCAACACCTCAAGAAGCAGCAACTCAGCAGCAACTCAGCATCACTTAAGCACTATGCAGATCACAGTTCTATAGGAGATACTCCTCCAGATAAGCACAGAATCCTGTTTCAGTTTCCACTTGTCTAATGTTTCACTGTTGTTTTAACATTAATTTCAAAAGAATTAAGATTTGATACACTCTTTTCCCCAACAGTCTCAATTTTAAACTGACCTTCATGCAATATGGATAGCATTTCTTTTAGCTAGTTCTTTGTGAAAAATGAGATGATTTAGATATCGAAACTTATCTTTTACTCATCAGTGTCTTAGCAAACTTCTCTCAAATCAAGGCATTTAAAAGAATATATTTACGAACAAAAACCACAGAACATTGAGTAACAGACAAAAATAAGTTGTTATTTACAAGTAGTATATATAATAAAACTACTACTGTGATAGGCATTTATACACCGTAACTGCAGTCAATATTTGCATTGTTTAAAAAAATTTCCTTAAACAGAAATTGTTCAGAGTTAGCCGTTTGTCCATACACGTGTATGTTATGAGAAGTACAACAGCTTTTCACATTTTTAAAATTATCAGCATAATTTACATTTTTTCCTCCTAATATCAAGTGAAGATTTAAAGATGGTGCAAACTGGAACACAAAGACAAGTAGCTATGACTGCTAAAATACAATCAATTTGGAACATATTAGTGTTTCAAACCGTAAATCCGTGAGAAAAATCCCTAGTATTTGGCATGGTCCCCCCACCACCCACCCCTGAAAGGTCAAAGCAAGATAGCCTTTTAAAGTAACAGTGATTATTGCAGATTAGATCTTTGGAAAAGCAGAGTTTTAACCAAAAATATTTTTAATGTAGTTGAAATACAGATGTATTTATCTCAGGGAGGAAAGAAGAGTAGAACACATGATCAGTAATGTTACTAAACCAATCCAGTTAATTTGTTCCATCCTTGCTTTGACTTATCCCCAATACCTTAGATAATCCAGTGGAGTGAACAGCACTGCAGCAAGTGCAAGAGCAACAATCCAGTTTTACATGACCAATTTTTCATTCTCTAGAAGTCCTTTAAGAGCCTGGGTCTTAACTTCTATTAACCCCTAATTTAAGTGCTGACAGGTAAACTAACATATATTTCAAACTGATATAACAGGGAAAACATTTACCTTTCTTAAACCAGGATATACAAAAGACAATTTGCATAGTTACAATTCAAGCACAAATAGGTACAAAAGCATTTATAAATTTACTAAATTTGCTGCTGTTTGTGCCAGCCAAATCTTAGATTAGGTGTGAATGTAAACTTGGAAGGGATTGAGGAGAACAGTCAGTGTTTTTTGCTTAAAATATATGTAGAGAATGCTTTTTAGAGGTTTTAAAAAATATTTTCTGCAGCAGAAACAAACAGTTCAAACCCCCCACAAAGCCATCCAAAATGCCCAAATTCCTCCTATACAGCAGAGAAAGTTTGTTCATAGGTTTCAAACCTACATACAAAACGAGGCACT